AAAAAAAAATAAAAAAAAAAAAAAAAAAAAAAAAAACATTTAGTAATTTATAAATTCTCTTGTGCCAGAAAAGGTAGTCAGTCTTTTTATAAGTTTTCAATAAAATAAAATAAAATAAAAAAGAATTCTTCAGAATATCTTGGAAAAAAGGTTGTAGTTTCCATTAAAAGATTAGTGTTAATCTGTTGCGTTGCAGTAAATGAACAGTTTTACCAAATCACAAAAAAAATTTATCAGTGAAAAATCATTCAATGCTTCTTATTCACCTCTATGATGAGATCCTGATAAATTTTAAAGATACGGGTTATAAGAATACAGCTTAAACAGCTCATTCGTTTATCTCAATTTGTTAAACTGTAGGAGATCAAAGATTTTGACGCATACTCCGCACTTAGATAATTATCACCAATGATCCATTTCAACAACAAATGTTGGATAAATGGCAACCCAAATAAGTTTTGATTACAAAATTACTGAAAGCTGTTTAAAAGTATTAAGCAAGCAGCCAATTTCTTAACGCCATTACTGTATTGAAATGCAACAATCAAATAATAGTGGTAGAAAAAAGGCAAAATTATTGTTTTAATGTAATGATCTGAAATAGTCGTGCTCTCACTTGTCTCAAACTAGTAGAGTCTAATTCAACAACTGAAGTAAAAAGAACGGTTTCTGCTCGCGATACCGACAAAAATTTAATCCCTAAACGTCTGTACAATTGGATTAGAAATTATGATGTATTAATGTTCATCTATTTATTTCTTCTTAAAAATTCATTGACTGAAGCACCGGATTGGAAAACTGTTTATAAAATGGTAAAACTAAATTGGTGTAAATAAATAAACTTACCAAACCATTTTAAATTTTTTCAATTATATTTTATATATGCAGAAAATCAGCAGTAAAAAACTTTCATTACAATAAGCAAAATTCTTTAGAAAATACAAGGTCAAACAGGAAACTTTCTGTAGATGAAAAATCATAAACACTATCATCTAAAAAACGTTTTAAAAAAAGAAGAAAATCAGGATAAAATAAAATTAATAAGCAAATACATTAAAAAAGTCACAATAAGTTGCACTAGAAAGCAATAGCTAAAAGTTTGATGATCCGCTGTCCCAAAAAAGCAACTAAATTTTTGACCAAAGCACTATATGATTAATATTACTTCTGAAAAGTTGATTTGTCAATTCGTTAAAAGAAAAGGCAAATTCATTGTAAAAAAAAACCAGCGGAAACTAATTGGGAAAGGCAAAATACGCACAATTTATTCCTACTTACACGTCAGGAGTTAACAACTATCTGAAGTGAACAGTAAAACACACTTTACAAAAACAGTTGGGCAAAGGAAAAAGGCGTGCGGTAGTCAGGAAAGTCGATGAATCTGAGGTCGGACGACGCTGCACACCCGTTGTTTTCGATTTGGCTCATCTTCTTTCACCAGATTAACCCCGATGTGCATTTTCCTCCATAGCTAAAAACAAAATACTGTTATATTTCGTTTTCAGTTACCTCTATATAGACTTTTCAAAAACTTCTGTCACAAATGTGTCTTTGAAAATTCTGTGTGTTTACAGACAACTGCTCGACTTCGAGGTTCGTATTCTTTGTTGTATTACTGACAAACAGAATATTTTCAAATTTTTAATCGTCAAGATGCACATTCTAACGTTTGTTCTAACAAAATTTAGTCATAAGTAATTAAAATATCTCTACTAGTTCTGTTTTTCTGAAAATTTCAAGCAATGATTAAAGCATCGACAAAACTTTTTAAAAGCAGCATTTCTCTGAAAAAAGAAAAGTATTTTACTTGTTTTGAAAAAAAAAAAAAACAAAAAAACAAAAAAAGAATATGCTTTAAGAAGATTATTAAATGTCTGCTTTCCATCCCAAAATTTATGACTCCTAAGACAGCTGAAAAGAACTTTTTATAAGCATTTTAAAAAATAAACATTAGACTGACCAATTGAAAAAAGTCCATAATTGGAGGATCTTGAGAGATAAAAGCAGATTTCTTACACTCAATCATCATGCCCTTTTACTTACCTTCAAGGTCCTTCGTGGTTTAAATTTCATCATTTCGAGAAATACAATTTCAAACGATATTGGCCGTACGTAGTATTCAATCTGTCGCCTACAGTATGTAGACAGCATAACTAACCGAACAGTGTTTCTTTCCTCTACTGCAAAAACGCAAATCACTGTCCGAAAGAGAATACGAGTTTGCTAAACGCCGACTGACAACACCTTTTCATAAATTTTTTGTTTCAAGCTGCTCTCCTTTATATAGCCGCAAAACGAGAATTCTTATAGAGGAAGGAGTGACAAGTCTTACATCTTTTCATTTTCATTTTCTTCCTTTTAAGTCCCTTGTCTGAAGACAGTGAACAATACTGTGAACAAGAGCCTTTAAAAACTTCTGTGGCAGGAAAAGCCCACAGCAGCAGTAGTGAGTTTGCGGCACAAATCAAACGCAAAAGTGTTGACAACTTTTTGTAAGTGCGAACGGTCATCAATTAAACCACGGGTTTTCCAAGCCGGCCGTTAATTTTACCAGTTAAAAAGGATCATTAGTTATCTCCTACCTAGTAGAGAACAACAAGGGAAAAAACTTACCAAGCCAAGAAAGGGCAACAGTAAAAACATGTTGTCCACATTTGTTACTTACCTTTCGACAACTGTTCGCAGTTTTTTAAGTTTCATTGTAAAATAAACCGCGATTAAAATCGTAGGCAGAATCCCTCACTGAATACTCAAGTCCTTCTTCCATTTGCATGACATCCAAGTCTGGATCCCGCCTTTCATAGTACATATTAATAGTTGTAAAGCCTTGCTCTGTGTCTTTGTGCTCAAAAATTCCGTCATTTCGCCAGCTTCCCTTCAATGCGAGGAAGAGCTAAGCGTCTGCTAAAGGGCTGTGAGGATGAACAGATGTTTAGGGCTGACACTACTTTGGAAAACCTGCCTTTATTAGTAAAATTATTTTCTGTGTAAAAAAATTTCAGCAACAGTGCCTATTGGGCTTTTACTTCGCTCAGCTTTCGACAAAAAACGACAAATCTGCAGGATGAAAAACCCAACAATTAAACTTCTATCGAAGGAAACTTCATGCACAATTTCAAAGTCGGCTTTAGACCGCTTTCCTATTATACGTGAGTCCAAAAACCTAAATCTTTTACTTCCCC